CCAGCTTGCCTCCAGCCATTCGTTACAGAATACAAGACCACAACATGGACCCAGCAAACCGTCTCTTTCGTCTCAGCCAAGGTGACCGCCCTATTGGGAAATATGTAGAGGAGTTTTGTGGATTTTGTTATGGTGTGGATGTTGAAAATGATGTCTTGAAAGACATGTTCCGTTATGGCCGTACAGATCGCTTAAAGTACCTTATGCCTGATAATACCCTGCAATGGACATTAGAGCAGTACATTGACATTGCCCTTCGTATAAACTCTGCTCTCCAAGTCAGCCCTGCCGTGCCAGAGACACTTCACATCACTTCTGCAGAGCCAGAGACGCTTCACGTCACTTCCCCCGAGTCAGTGTCTAAGGACAAGATGGCCGCTTCCGAGCCAGTGTCTAAGGACAAGATGGCCGCCTCTGAGCCAGTGTCTACGGACAAGATGGCCACCTCTGAGCCAGTGTCTACGGACAAGATGACCGCCTCCGAGCCAGTGTCTACCGACAAGATGGAAAGCTCCGAGCCAGTGTCTACAGACAAGAAGACTGTCTCCGAGCCAGTGTCTACTAACAAGATGGCTGCCTCCAAGCCAGTGTCTACGGACAAGATGGCCACCTCCAAGCCAGGGTCTACGGACAAGATGGCCATCTCCGAGCCAGTGTCTACGGACAAGATGGCCGCCTCCGAGCCAGTGTCTACGGACAAGATGGCCGATTCAGGGACTGTTCACATTACTTCTGCCAATCCAGAGACTTTTCACGTCATTGCCTCCGAGCTAGTGTCTAAGGACAAAATGGCCGCCTCCGAGCCAGTGTCTATGGACAAGATGGCCGATTCAGAGACTGTTCACATTACTTCTGCCAATCCAGAGACTTTTCACGACACCGCCTCCGAGCCAGTGTCTTCGGACAAGATGGCCGCATCCGAGCCAGGGTCTGTTCCTGTGTGTGTCGTTTGTTCCCGAGCCAGTGTGTGTGTCGTCTGCTCCAGAGCCAGTGTGTGTGTTGTCTGTTTCAGAGCCAGTGTGTGTGTCATCTGTTCCCGAGCTAGTGTGTGTGTCATCTGTTCCTGAGCCAGTATGTGTGTCGTCTGTTCCTGAGCTGGAGCCAGCATATGTCCTTCTTTCCTTGTGGCCGTTTCTGTTCTAGTGTCTGCTGTTCCTGATCCAATGTCTGCTGTTCCTGATCCGGTGTCTGCTGTAGTTGAGCTGGGGTTGCCTCTGCCGGGGCCGCGCGAGGGGTCTTCACCGCCGTGGCCGCCCGCTCATCCTGCTCCGCCTTGTTCACCTCTGCCCTGGCCGCCCGAGGGTATGACTAAAAATGTTTTTTCTTTTTTACTTTCATTTATATTTGATTTATAAATTATATATATATATATATATATATATATATATATATATATATACAGTATGTGTGTGTTGTCCTTTCAATTCTTTCTTGTCTGACTGACCTGAATATAAGGCTCATTATTATGAGTGTCAGGTGAGATAACCTAATGTAGCAAATGCAACATTTAATAATATACATAAAATGTATTTAAGGGGGCCGAAGGCCAATTTAGCTCAAAGGGAAATGATTCATTGATTTGCAATGAATCTATGGAACCGAATCACTGAACCGAGCAAATGACTCGCTTAGAATTCATTTGAACGGGCCGTAATTATAACCAAATCTATAGTGAAACACTATGTCTTAGCAAGGTAACTTTAAATCGAACAGTACAAGACATTAAATGTGCAAACACGACACAAGAAGATTTATCTTTTCAAATATATGGAAGCCTTTATTAGCTATTCTAAACACAACTCTAAGGTCTAAACATAACTAAACATAATCACGCACACACACATTCATACAGTCGCGAAAGGGAAAGAGTGAGTTGGAAAGAGTGAGAGAAAGTTTCAACTTTCTATATGCACGTAAGACATCACCTGAAAGGACCACCAAGCATTAATTTGAACCTTCATTTCTTAGAGAGGTTATTCAATTAACATTAAAGCACCAGTTCAGTTAGAGCCTGGAGTACTTGCGCTTTGTAGTGGCTGAGGGAATTCCCTTTGTCTGCGTTAAACTCTAGTCCAACCTCCAAGAAACTTCAGGCCAATGGGTAATGGCATGATCTCAGGAGGTGGATCTACTTCTTTACTTATCATAATTTATGCATGGTCTGTGAGCTGGTCTCCAGCACTTAGCAGAGGCAAAAGACCATAGTTTAAACCTTATGATTATTATAATCATAAAACAAAACCTTTTACGCAGATTTCAATCAAGCCATCTTTTGAATTAGGAGAATACGGTTCGTTTAAGAGCAAACGAGGCATTCACACTTCTAATGGTTGTATAACAATTACAAGAGTTAATAGTTAACAACAATTACATGGTTATTATGCAATCTAAGCATAATAACACATGAAGTGTAGGAACAACAACAATTATGATTGGTTATAGGTCCAAGAATTGTTCTGTGGTGAGTTTATATGATTTTATGTGTGAGATCTCCGATCTCAACAGTGAGGTTACTGCGAGTTCAACTCGTAAGGGGGACGAGGAGATGTGTTCTGTGGAACATCTCTGTCAGGGGATGAAAGGGGTCTTGGTTGTGAGCCTCTCGTTCCACCATTTTGGAGCTGACCTGTCTCAGTAAAACATTAACATATTGACACGTTCGTCCTGTTTAGTGCCCATCTCTTGGGCCTGTGGGGCAATAAAAGTCCTTATCTGCAGACAGCACGGAGTCGTTCCGTGACTCTGGAATGTGGGCTCCAGAACTTGGAGTGTTGAAGCCATGTGAATTAATCCCATGAGAGATTAATTTGATTAAGTTGTGTTTGATTCGCCTCGATTCTCTACATAATTATACATGATGGGGATGGACCATTCACACCCATTCGCATGTTACCTTGGCTAACAAAAATGTTTTTTCACAATATAACCCAATTTACAGTTTTATGTGAATGATTAGGCAGAATGATTTTCAGATCATTATGAAGAAAAAACGCTAGGAAAAACTATCCATTTGTCAAAAGTGTTGTGGACACATATTTCAGACATCCCAAGTGTTACATCGTGGAGTGCTTTTTATGCACGACTTGTTTAGAGTGATGACACTGACACGAGCCTTTCACATAGCAGCCTTTACTGACTCGAGACTCAACAAGACACAGTTGTTCTGCGCATGAACAATATCCCGAGGAGGGCAAATACGGAATCACCGTAAGGACAAAACCCGAAACGTTAAGTAAACAATACACAACATATTCCTCCCCTTTTACTTTTGAAGTCAATCTCAACAAATAAATGCTTTTGATGTCATACATACATTTGTCTTTAGTTTAAGAACATTACTCTTATTATTATTATTTTCATGAACATTCTATTAACTTTTCTAACTCTGGGGAAGGAGGGTAGACTGCCTCAATTCCCTGGCGGAACCCTGGGGATTATTCTGCCCCAATGTCGTGGGTTAGCCTCTAGACTAAAGATCCAATCTCCGTGGTGGTTTTTGCACTCTAGTTGGGTAATGATGGAGAACAGGCACCGGTGGTGTTTCTACTGGAGTGTCTGTAACAGTCACTGATGAGGAAGAAGTATTCTCAACGGGAACGCTTACCCGCGGTTCACTCGAAGATGGTGTGGGTAAGGTTTCTGATACCACCTTTCGACCCGAGTTGAAGAGAGATGCGTGTTGATGTGCGTCCAATTCACAGGGATCATCACTGGAGATTGTCGAGGACAACAACTGGTCAACATGTCTCCTCCACGTAAACTTTTCCTTTGTTTCAACGATGTATGAAACAGGGCCGGTTTGTGCAAGAACAGTTGCAGGTACCCATTTCGCTCCCTTTCCATAATTACGAGCAAGTATCTCATCACCTCTGTTGAAACTCCTGAACTTCGCTTTGGATCGCCTCTCCACCTGCATTTGCTGTTGTGACAATACAATCTGCTTGGTTCCGGTTGGTCTCAGAAGATCCAGTCTGTTGCGTAGTTGTCGTTTCAACAAAGCTGTAGCTGGAGAGACTTTTGTGGTTGCATGAGGAGTGTTTCTGTAGGACAATAGAAATGTGTTCAGTCTTTGGTTTAGGGAGCCCTTACCCTGAGATGTCTTTAGCGCCTTCTTCAGTGTCTGCACGAATCGTTCAGCCAGGCCATTTGTGGATGGATGATAAGGAGCAGATCTGATGTGCTGAATTCCATTTACACTCAGGAAAGACTGAAACTCTTCAGACACTAGCTGGGGCCCATTATCACTTACAAGCTGCTGTGGCAGTCCAAAACGACTGAAAACATTTCTAAGCTCCTCAATGGTCTTCTCCGAAGATGTGTTATGCATGACCGCAACCTCAGGCCATTTGCTGTGAGCATCCACAAGTACCAGAAACATGTGGTTCTCCAGAGGTCCTGCGAAGTCTATGTGAATTCTTTGCCATGGCACCTCTGGAAAATCCCATGGATGTAAGGGAGCTGGCTGGGGCATGTTCCTTACATTCTGACATTCTGAACAACCCTTTACTTCCTCCTCGATCTCTGCATCCAAGCCAGGCCACCAGAAGTAGCTGCGTGCCATCTCTTTCATTCTCACTATTCCCGAATGACCAGCGTGAAGTTCTTTCAACAAACGGTGCCTCAGGGGCGGGGGTATGATGACACGATAACCCCACAGTAAGCAATCCGACTGCACTGTCAACTCATTTCGTCGAATCAGATAGGGTTTGAATTTATCTGTCATCTTTCCTTTCCAGCCCTGAGATATCCTGGTCAGAACTTCTGACAAGACAGGGTCAGTTCTTGTGAATCGTTTCACTTGGGCAGCAGTTACCGTAGCACCTTGCACTTCTTGGAAGTAGAATATGTCGCCTTGAGGGCATTCTGGCTTTGTGTCTGGCAAAGGCAGCCTAGACAGTCCATCCGCATTGCAATGTTGCTCAGACCTCTTATACTTGATGCCGTACTGATGAGCCGACAGTAGCAGAGCCCTACGTTGCATGCGATTCGCTGCCAGAGAAGGAATACCGGTTTGGGGACCAAAAATGGAGGTAAGGGGTCTGTGGTCTGTGAGCAGGGTAAATCTGCGCCCAAACAGGTACTGGTGAAATTTCTTCACACCAAACACGATTGCTAAAGCTTCTCGCTCAATTTGAGCATAATTACTCTCTGCTGAGTTCAGAGTCCTTGACGCAAAAGCGATTGGTCTTTCTTCACCAGATGGCATTACATGTGAAAGTACCGCACCTACACCATACGGTGAAGCATCACATGCCAACTGTATCGGTAGGGCAGGGTTGTAATGTGTGAGGACCTCTGATTGTGTTAATGTGCACTTCACATCTCTGAATGCCTTTTCACATTTGTCAGACCATTTCCATTTGTTTGACTTGTTTAACAGTTCATGAAGTGGACGAAGTCTACTGGAAAGGTTTGGCATGAACTTTGCATAGTATGTTAGCAATCCTAGGAATGATCGCAGTTGGCTTACGTTCTTTGGTGACGGCGCATCCACAATAGCTTTTACCTTTGATGGAGCTTTGTGAAGACCAGCGCTATCAATCACGTGTCCTAGGTACTCGATGGTGGGCTGGAAGAAGTCACATTTGTCTTTCTTCACCCGAAGGCCATACTCTTTTAGCCTTTGTAGTGTTGCGTTCAGGTTCCCGAGATGGTCTTCATCATCTTTCCCTGTAATTAACAGATCATCGAGATAACACTGTACTCCATTCAATCCACTCAGGATCTGGTCCATGGCCCGCTGGAACAACGCTGGAGCCGAAGTTATGCCGAAAGGAAGCCTCTGATACCTGTATAGGCCCTTGTGTGTCACGATGGTCAGCAGCTCTTGGGAAACAGGATCCACCTGCATTTGGAGGTAAGCTTGACATAAGTCTATCTTGCTGAATTTTTGGCCGCCTGCTAATCCAGCAAACAGATCTTCAATTAGTGGCAAAGTCCATCCTTTTTCAGTACAGGAACAATTGGCGTGGCCCACTCGCTAACACTCACTTTCTTCAGTACACCGGTTTCCTCCAGCCGGTCTAATTCAGTTCCTACCTTAGGCTTTATGGCGTAAGGAACTGGGCGAGCCTTTAAGCACTTAGGTTTACTATCAGACTTAATGGTCAGTTTTACAGTGATATCTTTCATGCTTCCCAATTCATCTCCAAACACCTCTGCATGCTTCCTCAGAATGTGTTGTAGGCTGGTAGACTCTTTCGCCACTAAATGTACTTCCTGCCAGTTTAGCTTTATTTTCTCTAGCCAAGATCGACCGATCAGAGCTGTGTGACTACTACCTTTCACAATATACAGTGGTAAGTTTACCTTTTGTCTGTTTAGCTCTACAGACACATCCACGACTCCTGACAGAGGTACAAGCTGACCTGTGTATGTTTTCAAGCTCAGCTTCGCTTCTTTGAGACAGAGGTATGGCCACTTCTCTCGGTAAGTTGACTCTGCCATGAGCGATACAGCAGCTCCTGTGTCCACTTGCATTGGGACAGCTTTTCCATCTAGAAGTGGTGTCACCCAGTAGCCATCAGAATTTGAAGACACAGACATTACATGCGAGTATTCAGTTTCATCAGATTCATCCTCCTGTTGTTTCCCTGAATATTTCACTTGATTCACGTTTTTCTTTTTGAGTTTTCTGACATAACTTTTCTTGAACTCTCCAGGTTTAGCTGGGTTTGCTTTCTCATTTTGCTTTCTGTTTTGGCACACACGTTCAATATGGCCTTTTTTTCCACAGTTTCTGCAGTCTTTGTCTTTGAACCAGCATTCCTGTGCCATATGACTACTCTTTCCACAGCGGTAACATGCTCGCTTATCATCCTGTTTCACTCTTTCACTGTACACATTGTGAACTTGACTGGCTGTGCTTAACTCTTGTGCTTCTTTTGCAGCCATTTCCATGGATACACCGATTTCCATTGCTCGCTCTAGCGTTAGGTTACTTTCACATAAGAGTCGCTTTTGAATGGTCTCACTACGCAACCCACACACAAATCTGTCTCTTATGGTGTCACTCAGTGTTGTGCCGAACTCACAGTGTTCTGACAGACGCTTCAGTACAGCCACAAATTGAGCAATCGATTCTCCTTCTAATTGGTTGCGTTTATGAAAGTGGAATCTTTCAGCGATGATGAGTGGTTTTGGTGCATAATGTTCCTGGAGCATTGTTACAATGTCCTTGAATGAGCTATCACCAGGTTTATTGGGCTGGACCAGGCTACGTAGTAGATTATATGTCTTACAACCCATTACACTGAGAAAAGTTGGTACTAGAACCTCATCTTTTATCCCATTAGCCTTGACAAAATAATCGAACCGCTCCGTATACGAGCTCCACTGCTCGACAGTTTCATCATATGGTCCGATTTGCCCCACTAGACCCGCCATTTTGGTCTGTTTGTCAGTGTAATTTACCACTCACTCTTCTTTTATACTGGACTCCTTTCCCTCCCGTGCCGTTTTGCGTCGCCTTCGTGGTGTGCAGTTGCCGCTCTCTGTTTGCGCTATTTCCCAGCGCGACGAGCATCGCACGACATGACTCGCGTGCGTTTTTGCCTGTTAGCTTCCACTGCTCGACGCCGTCGCGGTTAACGAGTCGCCGTCAGCTGAATAGCACGTTATCTCGGAGGGAGAGAGAGAGTTTATCCTCGTCGCCAACTTTGTTACATCGTGGAGTGCTATTTATACACTACTTGTTTAGAGTGATGACACTGACACGAGCCTTTCACATAGCAGCCTTTACTGACTCGAGACTCAACAAGACACAGTTGTTCTGCGTATGAACAATATCCAGAGGAGGGCAAATACGGAATCACCGTAAGGACAAAACCCGAAACGTTAAGTAAACAATACACAACACCAAGTCTCCCGGAAGTTCCGGGAGTCTCCCGCATATTGATAGCGTCTCCCTGATGCCCGCAAATTAGTTCAAATCTCCCGGAATCTAGAGCGAGACATACTGCGCGCATAACATACATAGCGCGCTGCGCATGCACTGTACAGAGGGAGAGACCGAGTGTGCCTCGCAGACGCGAAAGTTAGCCCTCCCTCCCACCCAAGATCCTGTTACCGAAATATACCTCCCGGAAATGAATTCTTGCAGGTTGGGATGTCTGCATATTTAGTGTGTGTTTTAAGGCATTATTTCAAAAACTGTCATTTTTTAGCCTTGCGAGGGTTACAAATGAGGATTTGGGCTTGGCACTGGAAGGTCTGTCCACTACACCCTTTGAGCGAGTCTGTCTCAGAAAAAATATATGCGCTTTATAGCCTTCTGGTCATGATGTCACATACTACGGGATGACGTCCCGCCATGCCATTAGACTGATTTCATTTGCGCTTCAAGACACAAACATGCAGATTTATTCCCTTTGTGTTGCTAATGCTACTTCAGAGGCAACATCTGTAAGTAAGTAAGTAATAAGTAAGGTAACAGGCTTACTTCTATATACCTTTTCAAGTTCAAGGCTGACCTTTCAGATATGTTCTTCTAAGTGGAGCCATTAACTTTAGATATAGGCATCTGGGCAGCTTTATATATTGAGTTCACTAAAGGAGTGGTTTTGGTTAGGCATTTTGTACATTTGCTTTTATAAAGCAATAAACAAATGACTCTGATGCCTGAGAACTATTTGATTCCGAATATATTTATATATTTAATGTATGTTTAATGGTTTTGAAAATATGCTAGTTACAAAGCAGGAAAGACCAATCATCCCTTTACAACTCATTTAGAGTGATTTGTGCTCTGTGCTTCTTGTCTATTCTGTAACAACTAAAGATGTATTTGGAGGTGGGCTTTGAAGTCAGTGTTTGGTGCACACCGCATCATTATCAATCTTGTTTCTCTATCTTTCTTCTGCTTTAGGCTCTCTTCTGGCCCGCATTCAATCGGTGAGAGTTCAGAACAGTTCTCATCAGTGAGCCAGGTTGGGCCGCCCGCCTCCTCCACTTACTGAATGCCATCTATCTTTAGAGTTGATGCAAACTCAGCACTCTTTCCGTGAGTACCTTTTAAAACATCAAATGCAAGCCTTCCGGGGCACTTTCAACTCCAGGAAAACAAGAGGTTGAAAAGGAGGAGGAGGAGGCGGTGGAAGAGGAGAATCTGAAAGGGACTAATGTATTTTTTTAAGCAAGTATGGCAAACTAGATCTAATATTGGTTGTATGAATGTCTGTGTGTGAACATTTTATGGTATTGTAATAATATTATTTATTAATTTGGCCTGTGAGGGCCAACTTACTGATATTGTAGTTGTAAAATTTTGGACTCTAACTCGTCCTAGAGCTTTAAAACTCCAAACTTGGCTCAGATACTCAGTCTGTTCTGACTTAGTGTGCTATACGTTTTCCTAAAAATGACAATCAACTAGGAAAAGCTCCCATTGACTTAACATTGTGGAATGTTCAGATTTTCAAACTCCCCAACTGCCAACAATTAAAATCTAAACCCCCTGAAGCCCTAGACTCAATCAACCTGCCTTTCTATATACTATATGAGCCATTGAGACTCATTTAAACTAATAAACTCATCTCTCTATGACATGAATCTATGTATCTGTCTATCCATCTACAATCTACACATCTATAAACTCTTAAACTCATAATAAATTAATAAACTCTAAACTTGAATTCTTAGACTCATTTAAACTTTTAAACTCTAAACTCATTAATTCATACACTTGAAATTTTAAACTCATAAATACTTCACCATAGCAACCACCCCGAACACCCTAGTGACACCATAGCAACCACCTAAAATACCTTAAAACACCCTAACAACACATAGCAACCACCCAGAACACCCTAGCATCCACCAAAAATACATTAGAACAGTGGTTCTCAACTCCAGTCCTTAGGACCCACTGCTCTGCATAATTGTGTATGTCTCCCTATTTAACACATCTGATTCAGATCCTCAGCTTGTTAGGATAGACTCTTTGAACTGAACTGAGTGTGTCAGATAAGAGAGACATACAAAATGTGCATAGCAGTGGGTCCCGAGGACTGGAGTTGAGAACCACTGCATTAGAACACCATAGCAACCACCCAGAACCCTTTAACAAACACCTAACAACCACCCAGAACACTTTAGCAACCATCCAAAATACCACAGAACACCCCTGCAACACCATAGCAACCACCAAGAACACCTTAACAACCACCTAAAAACACACAGAACACTTTAGCGACCATCCAAAATACCATAGAACACCCCATCAACACAATAGCAACCATCCAGAACACCATAGCAACCACCTAGCAATCACTCAGAACAACCTATCAACCACCAAAAATACCCTAGCAACCACCCAAAATTCCTTAGCAACCACTCAAAATACCAGAGCAACCACCTAGCAAACACCCAGAACACCTTAGCAATACACTCTAGCAACTTTAAATTACTTCAAACTATACTTTAAACAAACTACTTTAAACTATTTAAAACTCTAAACTACTTCAAAGTAAAATACAAAGTAATTTACACTTTAAACTAATTTAAACCAATTAAAATGTCAAACTACTTTAAACAAATTTAAACTTCAAACTAATTTAAACTTCAAACTACTTTGAAGTACTTCTAAACTACTTCTTCAAACTTTCTGGTCAAAACTTTCACAAGCCAACTTAAAGTTTGTCTCGATTATTTTATCTAGTAATCTAGAATAATGTAATTATATTTACAGAAACTGAGAGAAATTGATCTATCTATCATCAGAATAGTTGGAAAGTGAGGGGCTAAAGCCTTGCCTGTGTTTCCTCATTATTGAGAAGTACCAGCTGCCACAATTTAATTTCTACTTTTTCTCTGTAGTTTGCCCACCACCTGCTCACTTTTACTTCCATCAAAGTCCTCAGTCTCCTTACCATGCACTCTGCCTCATTTGAAGAAGGCCGGCACCATGTTCCGGACCAGCCGGAGCCTGTGATCTGCTGGATTATTGCACGGGAGTTCCCCTTCTAACATTTACCTCCTGGATGGGTCATGATGTCAGCATGTTCATGCCTACTGCTATAATGGCATGTGTCTGACTCATGAATAGCAATGCCTCTAGCTGTCTGACTGTGCCTTAAGTTTGCAAGGAAACTTTTTTATTGCTGCATCCAATTCTAGAGTTCTTATGTTTTCAAGGGATTAATCTGTTCAAATCAAGATTGATATTAGGGTTGGGTATGAAAGCACGGAAATAATGTGTCTACACTACTGTTTTTTTTTTTTTTTTTTTTTTTTTAATTCAGCAAGGATGCACAAATTAGATCAAAAGGAACATTTAACACATTTAAAACAAGTAAAATAAAAACATTTATAAAGTAGCAAATTATGTATATTTCAAATAAATTATGTTCTTTTGATCTTTATATTTAGCACAAAATCCTAAAAATCGTAATTTTACCATGTTACATTAAAAAATCCTAGCATCCTAGTTTTGTTCAATACAAATTCTGTATTTCAGTTCTGAATGGATCACATTTTTAAAACGGTAGCTATTTATTGCTAATATCACACAGCTCTACAAAATGCCTTGCACAGCTCTACAGACCTTGCAATTCCTAACAATCATTTTGGATGTAATTTAATAAACTTTTTTTTTGCTGCACTGGAAATTCTCCTCAATCATATTGACCCAAATATAGAGGCTCCAGTATGTGTCTTCATCTGTGCCATCTGGTATTGAACAAATATAATAACCAGGCTCCTTACTGGGTCCCTTAAGGTCTGACACCTTCTGAGTGGGCCTGAATCACACATCATAATTATCATTAGTCAACTCCTCCTCTTTCACAGAGACTCTAATATGGAGAATGTGCAGGATCACGAACCTGTACAGTCTAAATGTCACTGTACCTGGTTGTAGTCAATTAGGAGAAGTGGAGGGCAGGAGGTAATAAATGAGTGAGAACCAAAAGGTTAGGTGTAAAATCTGGGGATAATTACAGGGGCGGACCAGTCTAGAGGAAGTGTAATACGATGCAGGGTGGGCTCTAAGATAAGATGATAAAGGTGTCGAGGGAGGTCATCCTGGGTGGTATGATGATACCCGTTGTATTTTG